GTATGTAGGAGATTTTCCAGTAAAATAATAGTAAGGACCAAAATTGAGGTCCCAGTCCTACCAGTCTTGCACCTGGTTATTTATCAAGGGCATTCACATACTAGTGGTCCCCATAAAGCCAAAGATTAAGCAAAGACGCAACTCTTTACAGGGTTAAGTTGCTCTAGTATCCAGTCTCAGTAACGTCACGGCTCACTCACACTGCAGCAGCCCATGTGTTTGGGACAGACCTCCATAGGCAGATGTTCACGTGAGCTCAGTAGCCACAATTGTGCCAGATTTTTGGAAGAACCTCGATCCTATTTAGATAACAAAATCAATGGCCCTGATACGTTGAGGGTGTTAAATGTGAAACTGGATATTGAGCAGTTTTGGAGATAGGGGAATTATTTTAGCTAAAACAGGCTTAAAAATCTGGCTCCTAACAAAGGGAAATCAAGTTGAGAGTTTTGGAAGGCATCTAAATGACTATGACTGTCAGGTGCCCAGTGCTCACTGGACTAAAATGTATGAGAAGTGCACAGCTCTCTTGAGCACCCTTAAATATGCCAGTTGAAGGCTGCAGCCAGGTTTCAGCAGCTGTTCTGATCTTTTCCACTGTGTGCTGGAAGCTCTGGGACCTGTGAATGGATGGAACAACATTGAAAAAAATCTATCAATACTATTGGTAATTACCTGATCTTTATTAGCTGTCCTATTTATGCAGCAAATGCATTACAAAAAGAGAAGGGGCTGTCAATGTGCTCCACATGATACTCGGCATATGGGCAAGTCAGTATGTTGCATAAGACTTTATCTTCCTTAGAAACTGTGGCAGGAGGCTCCCATATTTTGTCTTTTAGGTACAATGTTGAGTTAAGATCCTGGCATAGTCCTTAAGATGGGTATGGGTAAGGAAAGGCCATTAAAAAGGTGACGATGATCAAATAATGTGGTTATACATTCTTTTTATAATGCTTGTGAAATTGGCATTAAGAGCCTAGACAGGTAATGCAAATAGCAGGGGGTGAGTGAACCACCTGAGATGGTGTTTGATATTGCCAGAAAGCATTCTAGGGGCAGAAGTCATGATATCATTCCTGTTTGCAGCCAGCAAACACTGAGTAATGCTCATTTTTTTCTTTTCTTCCTTAAAAGTGAAGTCTCCAGACCATGCAATACACCATTTACACATCAAAGCAGCAATTTTCAGCCTGTGTAGCCTGGTTTCTGTGAGACTTCCACAAGCACAGTCCCAGTGCTCTGATGGAAACATTGTGAGGGCCACAGCTGCTGTCTTTTGGGCACAGTTAGGATGTTCTATAAAAGGGCAATTATGCATACAGGTAACTACTCTCATAAAAATCATAAATGCTGGGTGGGATCCCAAGAGACTACCTGCTTCACCTTCCTGGTCTTAAAGAGCACTGACGATGGAGATGTCATAGTCTCTCTAGGAAGTCTGATTGCTTTACAGTGCTTCACTGTCTACATGTCTAACCTGATTGCTTTAGGAGCCTGAACCCATGATTTCCTGTTTTATCCAGAACTTTCACGAAGAACAGATTGCTTTCTTCTCTCTTTTTAGCAGCCTGTGAAATATGTTGCCATATTAAAATCATAGAATCATACAACATTTTAGGTCGGAAGGGACTCCTGGGAATTACCTAATCCAACCTCCTGCTCAAAGCAGGGCTAACTTAGCTTAACTAAGCACAAGACCATGTCCAGTCAGTTGAGTTTTGAGTATTTTCAGGGACAGAGATACCACAGTGCCTCCAGGCTCCCGCTCCCGTCCTTAACCTCCCGCCTCATATGACCCTGGATTGGCACAACCTTTTCATAACAGGACAGCGTTGTTGATTTATGATCATCTGGTGACCTCCAGCAATCCCCAGACCTTTTTCTGTAAGACAGCTGTATTTGTATTTGAGTGGACTAATTCCTTGTCCTGTATTTGGGTAGGTGATTATCTCTGCTTAAGTGCTGCATTTTGTATTTGATCGTATTGAATACCATCCCATTTATTTTTGATCCTATTTCCAGTTTGGCAAGACCATTTTGAATTACAAACCTTTAGCATATTAGTGGCCTTTCCTGGCCTGATGTTGTCTGTACGTTGCATGGTAATACCCTCTTCTACTGAACGTATAAGACGCTTTCCTTTTGTGGGTGGACATACAGGTTTGTTTATTTGCACCTCACCCAGAGTGATGACAGAAGTACAGAGAAAGAGTCAATATCATCAGCATTGGATTTTGCTAATAACTGGACTTTGCAAAGATAAAACTAGCAGGAATTTATTCAAAATCCATTTAAAGGTGATTCCAGTGTGTTTGAGATCAAGCATGAGACAAGTTAGCAGTGGAGGCAATTTATCTCTGGGCTTTACAGAGAGGAAGAATGTTTCTATATCATTATTTAAATTGATTTATTTAGACTTATTTAATGTTTTAAAATCATGGTTTGAAAGCTAACTCCTGGTGGGAGCTCCGTGCACACAATGAGCATGTTTGGCCTTGAGCACATGTATCTGGTTTTAGTTAAGCCAAGCTGGCCACACTCATTCCACCCTGCACGTGATCTCATTCCATGCTCCTTGTCATGGTATCTGCACACCATCCAGCAATACATCAACAGTGTGAGTAATGTGTCTTATGTTGATTATTCTGTCACCAAGGGAGAAGTGTGTCTTCTCTGGTAGGGAACTCAGATATTCTTAAACAAAGCTCTACACTTATGCTGGAGAAAAGTCAAGAGCTGCACCTTGTGTTAGGAGAAAGAATTGGGAAGGTGTGCACTAGCTCTTGGGTCTTGGGTTAAGGCCATGTTGGGACTCAGACCGGCCACAACCAGACAATTGTGGTTTCTGCACTGACGAGCTCTCCTTGCACTGCGGAAAGGCCGTTTGCGCTGCTGCCAGCATGCTTCATCAGCTCATACTCTGTGACACTTGGGCCACCTTCAAAATCTCCTGTTAGCCTGGAAAAAAATTGTTCTTAATAGTCTTTATTTTGCATTTAGTGAAATGAGCAGGTTGGTGTTAGAAATGCAATGCGCTGTGTGTCAGCCGAATGGAAGAAATGTCTGCAGGCTGCAGGGAGGAGAGGGAAGGCTTGAAAAACTTGTTCAGCTGCTCAGTGTTCATATTTGTTCTGTGTGCAGTGAACGAGCTGAAATCTTTGCCCCTGCTGGGCCTGTTTACAGTGTGCGTTACCCACAGGGCAAGTTTTCTGCTACGGTCATCTGTCAGATTGGAGGGGAATGGCTGTTGCTAGTGGTTGTCATTAGACGCTGCATCATTCTCTTCGCGTATTTACTGAGCTAAACTCCAGCCTCAGCTCCCATCTGCGTGATAAAGGAGGTGCCTCTCTACAGCATCTCAAGTGTGAGAGCCCCAAAGCCCTTTAGAGAGGCTAATTCAACTTCAGATTTGGCCTGTGAGCAAAGCGCTTCTCATTTGAAGGGGGGTAAAGCTGAGGGACTGAAGGCTGAAGTGAATTGCTTATTGTCCCGTACGCGGTCCTCAGAACAGATTTCAACCCAAACATGACCACCCTTAGTCCCTGTGCTACACTTAAGCTGCTCAGTCTTGTTCTGCTAAAAAGGGCAGGAGAATCTGGCATCGGCTGCTGCTGTGCTTTTTTTTTTTTTTTGCACAATCCACAATTGGCACTTGGAGTCCCCGCTTCCCAGGTTTTGTCCTCCTTCGCTCAGCAGCCTCCCTGCAAACAGCAACTGGAGGACCTTTCTGGCGCACGGGGTGTTCCTGGCCTCCTACTGCTGCTTTTTCTCTGGGGAGTAGCTCCGACTCATCAAGGACACTGCAGATCCAAACCCTCTGTGTCTCTCGGCTCCTTATATGGTAACATGAAGAAGTCTTTGGATTTTAGTTCTGATTCAGAGTTATCCTGATTGTCTTCTCAGCTGGCGAACTAGAAACTTTAACTTTAAAGCCATAGGCAAACTAGCTCTTACTACCAAGAGACCATACCTTAGTTCATGCACGTGTATACCACTGTCTCACCACAGTCTTAACTGAAGACCAGGCTGCATCATCAACAATGAAATTCCCCTGCAAAACCTTTGCAACGCCTATAGTTTTAAGCATTTCCATTTTTTTCCCCTTCTGGAAGGGGCTTTAATATACTTGTTATTATAACAGCAGAAGAAAGAGGCTGAGATGGAGGGAGCATGCCCAGCAGGCTCTGGGGCAGAGCTGGCTTTTCTAGCACACTAACACAAATGTGATGGTAGGCAGTGAGAGCAGGAGGTAATGGAGCTGGGGACACCTAGAATGGACTTAGAGGCACTGCAGTCTTGATCCATCACACCCAGGCATGCAGGGAGTGGAGAAAATGTTCCTGAACAGAAGAGAGGTGTCCTTGTTCATCCCAGAGCCAAATGCATTTTGGTGACATCCCTGCCTCTGACAGAAGCCATCCTACAAAAGAGGCAGAGCAGTGAGCAGAGCTTTTTCCTGATTGCGAAAGCCTCACATTTATCTCTGGGAAGTCTTGAGGGACTTTGCACAAATTTGTTGGAGCCTGGAATGATGCAGGTTTGCGCTGTGTTAGCAAAGGGTGCTTTGATGAGGTGATCTGTTCTTGTGCTGGTGTCCAGCCCACCCTACTGCAGGCTGTGTCCTCCCTCTACTGGCTACAAGCCCATCGCTGGATATAGTGCTGAAGGCATATATAAGCATGAAACCATAAGGAAAGTAAGTGCACTTAATGACTTGAGACACATTTAAGGGCAGAAACAAAGGGTTATAATGGCTAAACGGGCTCCAGCAAATTTCAGGCGCTGTGGGAGCTCAATGTCTAGTCAGGGCCAGCTGCTAGCTTTTACAAAGATGTATGAGTTTGGGTTTTTTTTCCTTTATCTCTTCCCTAGATTTCATGCTGATGAGACACAAATCCGGACAAGCCTTGAGACCTGCATCCCCTGCCACATATCCCCAGTGCCTCGTCAGCCCCGAATTTTAAAAGTAACTGTCAGTTTCTTTTCTCGTGGTACAGGTTCCACCATATTAGCCGAGCGGCTGGGGCTGTCCACACCAAGCTCACCCACATCGACACCCAATTCCCCCACTGTCCTCTGCAGCGGCATCTCTGACCCCATATTGTCTACATGTGGCTCTGGCCCCCTCTGCAGCTCTATCAGTGGTAAGTGTGGTGGGATCCCTCGTATCAGTGGTAAGTGTGGTGGGATCCCCCGCTGCCTTTCCCATTCCCTGCCCTCTCCTGCACTGCCTCCCTTCACAGTCTCACACTTGTCTCCCAGAAAGACTCTAAAACCACAATGATCAACAGAGTCTCCCGTCAGCTCCCCCAGCGAGGAAAGGAGAGCCTCAGCAGAGTCTATTTTCAGTCTGTGTTATGTGGAAGCCGCTTAGATGCCTAGACAGCAATATTTCTCCAACCCTTTTCATCATGAAAGGTCCCAAGGGAGGCAGCAGAGTTTTTGTTACGTGCATGGCCCTGTGATGCACAGCTCCTTCTGGATTGCTGCGTGGCAGTGACATGTTGCATGCTAGCTTAGACTGGAGCTACGGGTATGCCTACATCCCCCCCCTTTCCCTCTCCACATGCCTTCTTTAAACTCTTCAGAAAAAGGCAGTATTGATATTTCTAATATGTCAATAAATTCCAGTAAGACTTAGATAAATGTACATGCAGTAAAAAAATGACAGGCTGTTCTGCAGCATTTTTAAAACCCCAGGCACCTGCATGATCCCAAGGCATTGCTGGTGGGATATATAACTTACCAAATCATTGTCATTGTTGTCCAAACCAAGAGTGTTTTTCACTGAAAGTACCTACCAGACTTGAGTCTAATAACTGGTGACAGCAAACATTCAGATTTTTAATGGGTTTTGGGGGAAAAAAATATAAATTTTCTCATTATATTGCTACCTCATCTGGTTTCATTGACGAGCCCTCATTATGGATGTGCTGTGAGCATGTAGTGTAGATATGGTGCTTAGGGACATGGTTTAGTGGGGAACTTGGCAGCGCTTGATGATCTTAAAGGTCTTTTCCAACCTAAATGTTACTGTAGCCCTTCATAGCTCTCGAAGCAATGACCCACTATGAGCTACATGCGATCCATGCAGGTATCACCCCAGCCCTGTCCTGAAGGATCCACACATAGTGATTTCTAGCCACTGTGGTCCTACATCCCTAGATAAGCCCTAGAGATGAAGCACCACTTGTCTTGGGAACTGCTGCTGCCATGTGCCACCTGGCCTCTCCCTTTTCAAAGCAGATGGCTTGATCTGCCCCTCCTGATTTTTCCTCCTTTGTTACTGTTTAGACAGTGGTTTGAAAACATGAAACTGCTCTTTGTCCCTGCTGCATGGGAACAGCTGTCTCTTGGTTTGCTCTACATGGGCAGCAGATCCCAGCAAATGCTGCCTTTCAGCTGTCCTGAGCCTTGGCATGTGAACCAGGGCTCAGTGAGTGGGACAGTAGGTCACAGGAAGGACCCCTGACTCTGCTAGGGCATGGTTCCTTCTTCTGTAGCTGGCTTCAGGGCAGAAATTACTCTAGGATGTCAAGAAGCCTTTTAAGCAGCATGAGTGACCCTGTTGTTTGTGTTTCAGGCACAGCTCCCAACTCTCCAATCAGCTTGCCTGAGTCACCCATCTCCCCATCCGTCTCAGGGCCCTGGGGAGATGAATGCACCATCTGCTATGAGAACATGGTAGACACGGTCATTTACTCCTGTGGACACATGTGTCTCTGCTATTCATGTGGGCTGAAGCTCAAGAAGATGGCCAATGCTTGCTGCCCCATTTGCAGACGGGCCATCAAAGATATCATCAAAACATACCGCAGCACTTAGAGCAACAGAAGATGCTGTGGTGGGGACTGTGCAGGTGGGAAGGAGGCTTTGAAACAACACAGGTCTTGGCCTCTATTCATCATCCAGAAGATTTGAAAACCATCACCCACCACCCCCCTGATCCTCTTTTCCACGGACAAGAGATGAGACAAGCTTAGGCGCTGCTCTCCTACCCTCCAAGAAAGCCCTGGGACTGAACTCCAGTGTGTCAGGGAAGTTGTGATGGACTACTCTCCCTCGTGGATTTTAAACTTTATCTCAAAAAAACCCTAACCAAACAGCTGGTGCAATCATCCCTTTTCTACACCATGCACAGCAGAGGAAGTCTTCAATGCTTAGCAGGAGCAGCAAGTGGTAAAAGGTTCAGCACTACACATCTCCTTCCAGAGACACCCCGCGTGCAGAGGACAGCTTAGCAGAAGAGGAGAAACAAGCAACACGTTTCCGTGTATAACCAGCCTGACTGTAGGAAGCCCCTTAGAAAGGATGGAGCGAGGCAAGCTTTGACCCAGCGAACAAGGTGCAGTGAGCACATTCACAGCGGAAAGACTGGGGCCAGTGCAGAAAAGGACCCAGGATTTGTGAAGCAAAACCCACCCCGTGCCCGCAGGCAGAAGAGCAGCCCCATAGCAGCCCCTCGAGGGCTGTCCTCTGCTGCTCCCTCGCTGTTCCCTGGCAGGTTTGGCAGCCAACACTAGCACTGGCCTTGCTCCCTCCCAGCAGCATCCAGCCACCTCCTGTTGCCATCCCATTGCATGACGAGTGGCTCTCAAACCCTACCACCATCGATCTGCTGTGGCTTGTCCTGAATGGTCTCCACGCAGCACGAGGGATTCGGCAGCATCTCTGCCCCTATGGGCCTACAGGAGTTGTGTCTCCCTTGCCTTTCCTCCTCCTACCATCCAGACAGCACTTGTGAGGGAGAAAATAAAAGAAAAAAAAAAAAAAGAAACAAAAACCCCAACCCCACTGGGGAAGAATGTATAAACCCACGTGTCTGCGGGTTTCATTTACTGGTAACTTTATCACTGTGCTTTAAGACAAAACCAGCCAGGTGGCACTCAGCCCTTCACAGCCAGCCCGCCGGCAGGACATGGCTGTCCTTACACATTAGGAAGAGAGGAAAGAACAAAAAAAATTAGCTTGAGGGGTTTAGTTTGCTTTGGTTTATTTAAATAAATCCCCTTCCTTCCTGCCCCTGTTGGGAACCCCACTGTCCTCATGGAGGGTGCCTGCAATGGCAGCCCCCATAGTTGCTGTGACAAGCGCCACTCCACCATGGCCACGGGCCTGGCCCAGGGCTGCCAGCCCTTGGCCCCAGGCAGGATGGCTCTGCAGCAGCAGGAGCTGCCTGTCTCCCCTCCAGCCCCATCCTGCTGCCTTCCAGGGCCATGTGGGAGGAAGAGATGGTGAGCAGGGCCAGGGTGCAGCAGTGTTTGCCCTGCCATGTTGCCCGTCAGGCTGGGCTGGGAAGGCCATGGAGTTACATCCCTCCTGCTAAGCCTTTTCCTGCACCTCAGCATATGGCTGCTGACAGGACAGAGGGGGACAGTGTAGCATAGAAATAAAAGCATTTAATATACGTGGCCAGCTGCTGCAAGGAGGCATCATGTCCTCTCCAGGCAGCTGGTGGGTGAAGGAGCACTCACAGAGACTGTTCCTGAGAATGCCTGGAAAATAGGTCCTTGCCCTGTCCTCTGGAGGAAATAAGAAAAGCTACTAGCTGGAGAGTGCATGTAGAGCCTTTCTCTAAAGGTGCCGCCATCACTGCAGCCTACTACGGGGGTCTGCAGCCATCCCCAGCCTGCTCCGGCAGGCAGTACTAACTTGAACACTGATATTCTGGTTACAGGGATTTACGTTATTTCTTTGCATACCTCTCACGTACAGCCCTAACCCTGCCCTGCACTCCAGGTCGGCTGTCAAAAGCCCCAGGGCACCATGGCTCCAGTGCCCAGACACCCTGGCTGACGGGTGGGAGGAAGCCAGGTTGGCACAAGTTGGGGAGGCCACAGCAGCCATGCCAGGAACACAGCTGGTCTGCAGCCATGCAGCCAGCCTCCAGCTTGCCTGAGGACAGAGCTGTGACCAGCAGACACAGGAAGCCTGTTGCAGGAGAGAAGGAACCTAAGGGGTAGGAAGGTGTTGACAAAATAGTGGATGTGGGGAAATGTGCAATAAGCAGCCTCCCAAGCCTTCACCACGCCAGTGGGACTGGTTCCCCTCCATGCAGGGCAAGCCAAGGGTTACATTTTATTTTTCAAAAAACTCCATCCATGGGTACCAGTGCAGTGGTGTGAATTCCCTTTTCACCTTTCACATTCAGAGTGTTTTAATATATAACTGTGTTTGTTTTACTGTGGACCAAACTCTAGGAGTTAGCAGAAGCTGAAAGCATCCGCCAGCATCCAAGCTCAAAAATTGGGGTTAAGTCCTGCTCCCAGCATCAGCTGGCCTCTGGTTGTGAGCAGGGAAGAAGAGAGCAAGGCTCTCTCCAGGGAGAAAAAAAAAACCAACAAAAACAAAACCCAAACAAAAACAGCAAAAGCAGAAACAGTAACAACAATCCTAACCTTTTGTTTTGTTTGATTGGTGTAGGTTCCCAGGTACCTCCGTGTTCTTGTGTCATTTGCATTTCATTGCTTTACTTTAAGATGTTTTGTGTTCTGTTTAAAAAGAAGAATAACTCATTGTGAAAAATTGGATAACTGTGATTGTGAATAAAGTTGATTTAGGTATTCTGCAGCAGCATGAGCAGCTGAGTATTTACCATTTCCCCAAGCATGGCAAAAGACAACGAGCAGTGCCATGGTGAGAGGTAAGAGCACTGGTGCCATGAAAGCCTCTTCCTTTGGGGGGAGCTGGGTGGAGAGAGCTCAGGCTTTCCTTCAGTCCTTGAGGATGAGGGGGTATTGACAGCTGGTCCCCAATGGACCCCATACACACATAAGGAATAAAGGAAGCCACAAAAAGTAAAGCAAGGACTAACGACATTCCTGCAGCTTAAGCCCCATGTTCCTGAGCCTCTTCACACCCTCCCCAGACTGAAGCCACAGTTGCTTTCCTCTCATGGCCTTGTTTGTACAGTCCCCTGAGTGCCTACGACCACAAAAAAAAAAAAAAAAAAAGCCCTCACCAGCACAAGAAGGAGAAAGCGTACTGTGAGGAACCGCAGGACCATGCTGTTTAGCCTGGTAGAGGCCAGGTAAGGAAGGGGCTGAAGATTAGGCAGAGCAGTAGCAATATAGCCAGCTGTGCCCACCCCAGCTTTGCAGACACACGACAGTCCAACACTTGGCAGGAGGATCCCAGCCCCGAACTGAGCAACATGTTGACAGGGCCCACTGACAAATCTGGCCAAGGGAGATACTAAAGCAAGATGCAGGTGCTTTCTCAGCATGTAGCAAGGGACACAGGGACCCAAAGGGGGTTTGAATTCCCAAGAGTGATGCCATGTCCCCCAAAATCCAATAGCTCCTGCTGCAGGGATCTGCTCAGGAGCACACCTATAACACAGTCATGGAGATTTCCTCCCCATCCTTTTGTTCAACTATTCAGCAGATGAGAGACTGTCTGTATTGCTCTTTCCTGTCACAGGACATCCTTAAGTTAGAGCACACACAAGGAAGAAGAAGATGCCATCTGCCAAGGGACTTCCCAAGAGAGGTGTCCTCAGCCTCTCCAGCTGAAGCTATTCCCCCCTAACAGCTCCATAGTGGCCTAAAACTTCCCATGCTAGGTAAAGCAAAGCCACTTCTGCACCCCAGCTTTCTCCAACACCACCCTGAGTAGCTCTTGGCTGTTGGGACAGGGCAAATCTGTGCATGCCTGTGCTGCACTCCAAGAGCTGTGCCCAGCTCCAGCTTTCCCAGGGACAGGAGAACCTCTAGTGAGTTTGGAAAGCTCCTTCTGGCCACAGCCCATTCATGGCAAGCCTCCTCGTCCCCTCAGGAGCGAGGGGGAGACCTGCAAAATGCAGACTGTCCCTAAAAACCAGGGACACTGACCTGTCAGACAGCATCTGCCAGATGTGTTGAGCCCAAGCACTGCCACATACTAGGAGAAGCAAAGTGCTAACGCTCTGGGCCAAACTCAGATCCTCCCCTGGCATCAGCTGTACATCCTTGTCTGCTGACCATTGCTGGGGTCACCCTGCCCTGACCTCCCTCCCTAGGCCATCACCATTAGCTCACCAAATCCAAACCAGACCCACGATTTCACCATCACTCCCAAGCTATGCTCCACCTAGACCAAGAAGGGCGCAGCACAGACCTTCCCCAGTAACAAGGCATCCCACTACCACAGCCCTCCTGCTGATTCAAGCTGAGCCATCCCCAAGGTTTCCCCGGCCGGTGGTGACACAGCCCACGGGGCCCGAGCCCACGGACCGCGCTGTGGGGGGACGAGGAGCTGGAGGAAGAAAGGCCCCCGCCCTTCGGAGGGAGGATGCTCCGAAAGTGGTCCAGGAGCAGCAGAGTTGGTCCAGCATCGCCACCTGGTGCTGCGTACCCAGCACGGCACACAGCCTATAGCGGCCTTTTTTGGTATTTCTTCTTCTTCTTTCTTTCTCCTCCCTCCCCCCTCAAGGTTGATTTTACTCCTTTTCACAAGTACTATAAATACACATAAGCAGGACCAGAGAAAATTAGTCTGAGTGCAGCACAGGTCTGGCGGTGGTGCTTGGAGAAACGGGGGTGGGGGGTAGTACAAAGGGAGCGATGAACAGCAGGTTACAGTATACATGGGGATACATTAGTACATGGTGTTTGCACCAGAAAAGCCCTTTCAACCCGAAGCTGGCTGGCTCACTCTACACACAGAGGAAGAGTGGGCACAGCTTCCAGGCACACTAGTCACTAAGTTTGTGCCTTAAAATGCCTGGGACTGCATGCTGCCTCAGCTCTAATTCCTGGCATCCTTCAGAGAGCTGAGGTGCCCAAACAGGGCTCCTCCTGCATCACCTGCCCGTGTGCAGAAACATCTCATAGGTGCTGTTAGCAAACACCATGCCTCTGATGAGAGCTAGGTCATCTCGGGGTCTGGGTGAGACTCATTTCTCTCTGCAGGATGTTTGTGAAGAGCCACAGCACATGGTGAAGGCATAGCCCCATGCTAAAATGAGGGATGCATTCACGCGAGGTCATTCTCTGCTGCAGGAACAAAAAGTTGGGGAGGGCCAACTGTCCCCTGCAGTCCTGCTTTCCAAGGTGGAAACCAGGCACTAGGTATGATCCCTTTTACCTACAGATTTGCAAACT